TGTATTATAAGCTAATGGTCTAAAATATTTTCAAAATATTTTAATCTTTTATTATTTTTATTCAAAACAAACTTGAGTGTTTCACGTGCAGTATAACCAATACTAAGTAATAAATTTTCATCAAAAAATCGTTTTACATGTGGTACGAATACTAAAATAAAAATAAATAATTAGAGCTCGAATTTTTCAGTCGAATAATATCCTACATGTTCGTAAATCTGACGAAAGAAAATGTCGAGCAGCAACAATTATATCTTTTCGTAATTGTACATTTTCTGGTGGACAACCATCAAGTAATTGTAAAAGTGCAATTACTAATAATTCACTATTTGATGCCAATTGATCCTATTAATATACAAAAAAAAAGTAAATATATATATAACTCGCGTTAGCTAGTTTAGTTATAATTTTACCTGATATGTTTTACCAACAAATGCAAGAAATGATAATGTTTTTGCTTGTGTTGTTAGAAATTCTATATATATTTCCATATTAAATTTCGAATCAGTCCTTTAGAAACAAAAAAAGCATTAAATATAAATATTTAAAAATCTATAATGTAAACAAACTTTTGTTCTTTGTTTGGTTGTAATGTAAGATATCTTAAAAATAATGGTACTAAATCTCCAAATTCTATTTGTAATGATTGTCGACAAAGTTGATAGAGAAGAACAATCGCAACTGGAAATTCAGCTAATAATTTAACTGAATGTGATGCACGAGAAAGTATAGTAAACTAAATAAATAATTCATTCATTAAAACAATTATTATATATATATATTCATATAATAATTACTGTATCAAGTACGACTTGTGGTGATGATGAATTAGTCGTATCATCTGTTGTTAATGATGATTGTGTTGGTAAATTTTGAATTTTTTTTACTGTTAATTGTACAGATGAACATATTTGTTCAATAATATTTATGATATCAATTTCATTAATTGTCATTGTTGGATAAGAAAATGTTTTTGTTGTAAAAATTTGATCAAGTGCTGAAGCTTTTTGTCGATAAACATTATGAACAAATTGAAGAAATTCACGAACTTCATTGATCATTTGTGGACGAAATTGTTTCATATATTCAACAATAATACGTAATAATAATAATGCATTTTCTTCATTTTCTTTTGTTAATAATTTAAATATAGGTGATAATATATCTTTAACAAATGGACGAAGAACTTCAGAGATTGGTAAACGATGGAATATTTCAATCATTTGTTTTCGAATTGTCTAAAGTTAAATATCATATTCTCTTTATTGTAATATTTGGTTTTCAAATATGCCGAACTAGTCTATAGTATTTTCTCATCAGACTCGATTCGAATAGAATTTATAAGGCTTAGAACCGTTTTAAAACGTGATATTGAACTGTTTGTACGTATGTGACTCTTTTGCAATAAGTATACTATTTAATGTGTGGGGTTGATGCCACCCTTTTGAAGAAATGACTCATATATGAAAATCTCATGACTAAGACATTTTACGTATTTCTCAAGTGATCACGTAATAATCAAATTATAATTCATTTCTTTTTTTTACTAGTGTTCATATAGTAGACTACTCAATAGTGACTTAAGATAATAATAGATTAAAAAATGAAGACATACTTGTGCATTACTAGGAATAATAAATACAGTATCTGTTTCAATTAATGATCTAAGAAAATTTTTAACTAATAAATCGATATATGCTGGATAATTGGGTAAAGTTGAAAGAACCTATAATAAAAAAAAGATTTATTATTTCTGTTCGAGTTTAAATTTCTATTATTACTTCAATATTATCCGAAATATTTTGAAGATGCTTTAATCGAACTTCATCGGCTAAAATCAAAATTTATTATCTATATATATTATACACGATTATTCTATACATACTATTTAATTGATCAACAACTGAATGAACAAGCATTTGAAATTGTTGATAATTACATTGTTGATATGTTTCCGAATCACTCGTTACTGAGCGATTCATATTTTGTGTATAATGTGTATCAACTATTACATTATTAGCCATTATCTGAAACACGAATAAATAATAAAAAAAAAACAACATGCTATTTTTTTTTCATCATTGTTTCATATCTTTTGCTGTTATATATTATCTTTCTTAAAATTAGAGAAACAAAAAATAAATTATTTAAATCCATGTTTAACAGTCCAAAGACCATCATTTAAATAATGTAATGTTTCAACTCCAACACCTTTATTAATTTGTTGCATATCTTGTGATGACATTTTTAATAAACCAATAGCCAATGCATGTTCTTTACCTTCAGCCATAACAGCACAAATCGAATCTTTGGGTGCATCACATAATTTTGCACCTGGAGATGTTAGACCTGGACACATAATATTCGCTCCTGAAAGTACAAATCGTATTGCACCTTTATCAACTTGTTGTGGACGTAAAATAAATGGATATTTATGTAATAAACGTAATAATGGTATATATGATTGTGAATCACGAAATCGAAAAAATAATGGTTGACCTGTTGAATCAGCAATTAATTCAATATGATCTTGACATTTAACTAATTTTGGTGTATCTTTTTTTGGTAAAATTTCATCTAATACAGATTCAATATGTGGAAAATCTTGTGTTAAACGTTGTTTAAGTCGTTTAACATCTGTATTACGAAGTTGTGTTACACTTGTTACACTATCTTTTTCATGAAATTTCTTAAACATTATTTGATGAAATTCTATGTTAACAAAATAAATTTGAATCGAACAATGAAATGAAATGAATAAGTTTGAGGAAAATCTAGCGAAAAAAAAGAGAAATTATTTCATTGTTCGATCCAATCATTCTATCAACAATTAGAAGATAGATGGAGCTGGATATCATTATTATTTAAAACGGAATTTTATATGGAGAAAGAAAGAAAGAAATGAATATTAATTTGAATTTATTTAAATACTAATAAAATATCGTTAGATAAAACAAAAAATATTCTATGCCATGTGACAAATTAGTCTGTCGTTTTTTTTGCTCATTATAGTAGTTCAGTCTATATTGTATTTGAATATAATGCCGCGTGTTTCGAATTCAAATGATTATCTTTTTGGATCTCTTTGGTGTACACCAGATAATAATCGTTATTATCGAACATTACCATCATCTTATAATGAACAACCATCAATATTATCACCAAATGAAATTGATAAAATTCTTTCGCGCAAATTATATAATGAATTAAAAATAACACCAGAATTACAAAAAGGTAAAAGAATATTGTACTAAAAAGTTGATTTTTGTAATCATTTTTTAGAATCAAACTTCAAGGAAAAAAGTGAACCATTTATTGATCCTGAATTAATTATGTTGATTGATCATTTTTTTAATTTAACATATTTAAATACTATTCCAATGGTTAATCTATTAGCTACAGCTGTAATTGTTTGATTTATATATATTAGAAAATATTTTGTCTTCGTCTGTTATTGTTCTAGGTAGCGACTAATTTTCTTAAAGAAAATATACGAGAATTAGATAAAAAACTTCAAGAAGAACAAGCAATACATGTATCTGTGGATATTAAAAGAGGAAATTCATTACTTTATGAACATAGAAATAATAGTAATGACGATGATGATGATGATAAACTTTCATGGGCATCAGCACCAACTTAAAACAATTTTATTTGGATTTTAATTCTTCAATAGAAAAACATTCAAGAAATTGTAGACATATTTTTGTTTGTCTTTGTTATTTAAATGAGTTCGTATAATTTGATTTGAGTTAACTTTATCCGTAGGAATTTTATTATAATCCAAGATTATTCAATAAAATAGTTCTAGTTGATCGAATTTGATTTTTAGTATTTTGTTTAATCTTTATTTTTGGAAATATTAAAATTAATTTTGATATTAGTATAGAGAATAATATTAGACCGTTATAATATTAATAAGTACAAAAACCGTTTCAAATCAATGTATTACACATATGTATAAGTAAAATATTTCTATGATTTTTTTTGTCAAATCAGATTGTTGATATCACACACTGGTGTTTAGAGAAAAAATCATGAAAGAAAAGATGTAATCAAACATCTCTCTTTTGTATCTCGAATGTTAACATTGACAAAAAAATGGTGAGTTTTTTTCAGAAAATGTTAATCACAGGTAACATCTCTTTAAAATATTTGCAATTCAATCTCGGTCTGATAAACTATACATCAATGCAGTAATATGCATATACGTTGTAGTCGAAATTTTTGGTTTTATCTATTCAAAGTAATGGTTACATTGTACGATGAAAAAGAAAACGATACATAAATAACAATGTACCTACAGTTCGTAATACTCAATGATAAAAGGAAAAGTATGATGAGTAACTTTCACCAACCGTAAAACAAGTCTAAACGACAGCTACAATTTACCTGTGATTATTTGTTTTTTCTTTTCAAGTAGTTTATTTAAAATTATTCGTTAACAATTTGACCAGTAATAATTTTTTATTAAGTAATATGATTAATATTAACAGGCATTAAGTAGTAGAATCAAAACTATATAATTCAGTACAATGAGCGAAAGACAGTTCTCTGATGTATTATATACACAAGAATATCTCTATTCCACGTTTTCTAATGGCAAAATGAACGTAGCCGAAACCTATGTTGCTCTTGCACTTGGTTTTCTTGATCCATGCTCTCTACCACCAATGGTCATATTTCTCTATGACAACCAGAAATGGTGTAGAGATACTCGTCGTCTTGCGATTGCGCGAGCGCTAGAGAATAAAGGTCATCACATTGTGTCTAAAAAGATGCAAGTGGTTTATGCAGATGGAAACAACGAACAGTATCAGAAACAATATAATAATTTAATAAACGAACGGATACCTTCAATGAAACGCAAGAAACTTAACGGGAAAAATGTGAAAATATCTGATAAACGAGGTTCAACGTGTTGCTTAAGTGATCAATGTGTAAACTTATTCCGTGATGACATTATTACGCATATGGCTAAGAACCACTTACAAATCACACTTAGCGATTTAGAAGCTCTGCATGAATATTATTGTGAAGACTGCGGGATGCTAACTCAACTTCAATTGGTTAGAAAAGGCTTCAAAAAGCAGCGCAAATCTTATACAATCCAGCGTAACTGTGGATGTGGGGATGGCAAGCGTATTGAACTACCATGGTTGGAAGTTAGTCTGTCCACAGTATGCGATGAACTACGCAAATATAAAGAAAATTGACCATGAGATCGACGAGTGTAGCACTCATGATCATATAATTAATTTTGATATAAGTAGTGATTAATTCGTACATAAAAATAAGCAAAGCTATATATTTTTTCTTCAATGTATTACAAAATAAAATTGATAAAATGTACCCTCTTTTTCAATTGATAAGTAATGAAAGATAATTTATTTTATTCATATTCTATAATATCTAATTATTTCATAGTTTATTTCATTTTAAGACAAAAATAATTCTACATCCACAAGTTTAATACAGAAAAGAAAAAGAAATCACATTTTTATTTTTCTTCATCATCTGTCAATGTACTAGATGTCGATATATCATTGTTTTCCGATGAATAATTCATTGGATCGTCAGATATAGAATCTAGCATATCAAGAAGTACAAAAGAAGCAATGATTAAAATATAATATAATACTTATACATACCGTCAATCGTTTCCAATTGATTGAGAACATGTAAACCTGAATATAAAGAAAAACAAATAGTTAAATCCTATTTTCATCTGATAATCTTACATTTTCTAGCAGTTATTTCAAGTTGTTTATGTTTTCGATCAATTTCATCGATTAATTTTTGATTTTCTTTATGATAATTTCTATAGTTTACAGCATGATAAGTTATTGTAAGACAAGAAATAAAAAACCATAATTGACGAAGACGCCATAATGCATTATAGAGATCTACCTAGAAGATTTTAAATAATATAATAATTCACTATAAATATATTTTATTACGTGAGAATATGAAGAAAAAAAGAGTGTATAACGTTCTATACCAATCAAACTAAGCCATAGAAGAATTAACCAAAATCTAAGAAAAAAAAATTAAAAACGAGTACAGTTTGTTTTTTAATCTACTTGGACGCATTTGTTCGTTCTGGTATCGTTAATAAATAAATTCCAATGAGTGATGCTGCATAAAAAACATATGAACTTAAACCAAAAGCATCAACAAATAATGATGTTTGTATATTAAAAAGTGTTTCTAATATCTGAACAAATAATAACATAAAAAATTTATGATCAATTCTTATTTTACTTGTTGAATAAGTTCAATTTGTGCTTTATCTTTAACATATAAATGTCCTTGTAATTCTTCTACATCTGACTGTGCAACTTGAAGAAATCGATCAACATTAAGTGCATCATCAACAGAATGTTGGTTGACAATCAATGCTTGATCAAGACTCGTTTGCATTCTATCCTGTTCAATAAGTAAATTTTTTGCTTCATTTTCAACTTGATTTGAATGTATATTTAATTGTGAAATTGTATCTCGTGCTTGATTATGCCATTGTTGTGTTTCAATTGCATAACAAATACTTTGAATATGTGGTATAAAATTTGTATAAGTTAAATAAGCAAATGAATTTTTCGTAATATTTTGTAAACATTCATTTAGATCGTTGTTATTATTCGAGAATGTTAGAGAGCATATTGAATTAGAATTAATACCAGTTGAATTTAAATGACAAAAAGTAAAATGAAGAGCAAGTGTAGTTTGAATTTGTGATGGAAGTGATGAACAATCAAATTTTTGTTCATTATAATCAAGAAAAATTTGTTCTAATGAACGAGATAGACATGGTTGAATATCAGTCGTAGACAACAAACCATTCGTTAAAATGAAAAGAACTATTAGTATGCAATACATTGATTTCTCCCTCTCTCTTGATATCTGATGATGATTATTGAAATGAAACTTTTGAAAATACAAAGAAATCTTTCTACTACCAATATCTTTAGTCTTTTTTACTAGATGTCACTTGTAGTCCATGGCAAATAGGTTATTAAATGAATAAACAATTATGTTGAACAAATCGTCAAACATGTATACAGACAAACACTTACGGTTTCTTTTAATAATAACAAGAATGAAATAAACAAAGAAAAAGAAAACGAGAGAGAGAGAGACAACTTAAATTAGACTTATGTTCCGCATAGTAAAAAGAAAAAGACAAAAAAGAAAACAAACTTAAATAAAGCGCGATTCGAGTTAAATATAGGTTTTTGCTTATTTCAGATCGAATAAATCAAGACAAAAAAGAAGTGATACCCATATATGTGTCTATATAGTGCTAAAAAGAAAAACAACAGTGTTGATAAAAACAATAGTATTGACGATAAGTTACAAAGAAAAAAAAAGCGAAAAGAACAAAAAAAAATGATATAGTTATTTGTATGCTTGTATGTGCGGAATAGAATAAACAACTTGATACATATATATCACAAGATGATATTCGATTGGATTTAAGTATCTTTGAGAAATTCATCGACATCATCATCATCAAATTGAAGATCCTATATTAATAAAAAGAAAAGAAAAATGAAATTATTTGAATTTATTTAAAGTAAAAAAATTAGTGTTATCATGCTATTTCTATACCCCCGCAAATAAATATATTAAAAGAATAAAATGCATGCTTTTGTTAACCAACGTGCAAGAAGATGTTATTTTTTGTCATCATGAAAGATTTTCTCTACTTTAACGTTTTTACCTCATCTTCATCAGTGAATCTCTTATTAACTCCTGTTGTTTGTGCATTTTCAACGTCGCTTACATCATCTTCGATATCGAATTCTTGAAGTTCTTTTTCAAGATCGCTTAACGATGTTTTACGTGCTGTTGTAGTTGCTGGTTTATCACTTGTTGCTTTGGATATTGCTGATGAAGTTACTGTTGTTGTTGTAGTTGGTGGCGGTGGTGTTGTTTTATTTAATGGTGGTGGTGAAGGAGTTGCACTTTTTGTTGTTGAATTAACTAAATTGTTCATTGGAGATTGAGAACGAGAACGATCCGATGAACTTGATGTTGATGCAATAACAGGTGGAATTAATTTATTAACTACTGGTAAGTCGGTGGTTGGCTAAAAATCAAATCAATAAATAAACGAAGAATTTATTTTTTATTATCTACTTTATTTGTCTTGGCAGGTGAAGGAGAAGCAGCAGATGTTTGTTTTGATGTATCTTTAATATTAGGAGAATGTTCATTATCATCTGTCTCAACTGTATCGTTATTTGATTGCACTGGACCATAAAAAAATTGTTCACTATTTTCTGCTTCTTGCATTTCTTCAATAGGATTTCGTTCCCAATTAGGCTAACATAAACAAAATATATAAAAAATACATATTTATATAAATTTCTTACAATAATGGATTGATAATTATTAGCTGATTGTTGTTGTGTTGTTTGTTTTAAATATTGTTCTGTTTTATATGTATTAACAAGACCTGGAAAAAGATTTTCATAATCAGTTGGATTAGCTAATGCTTGTGCTGCACGTTCCATATTCATTTGTTTTAATTTATCTCTCCATAAACCTACAATACGACCAATTTGTGATGGTAAATATGTTCGACAAAAGAAAGCGGCTTCAGGTAAACGTTGATTTTCAATAAGAATATCTAAACATTGTTCTAAATTTCCCAAAACAAAATTTGATAGAAAAGCTATATTAAATTGTCCATTTTTTCTTGATTGATCACCAATTGTTGACATTAATTGTTTATCACTTGATGCACTTGCTAATAATATAAGTGAACCAAATGATTGTGCTCGTGTTAAACATTCTTGTACTAATTTAAAATCACCACGTTTTGTTGCAACATCAGATAATTGGACCCATTTTTGTTCATTTTCCATTTCAACTGCAAGATCATAACAGATTTGTAAATTACCTAATTGAAGTGCTAAATCAAATTTATGTTCATTATCCATTGTAACAGCTAATGCTTGTTGACGATAACCCTAATTAAGAATACACAAAATTATTTTTCATTTTCAATTATAAATCTAAACAAACTTGTTTCTCAAGAAAATGTGCAACACGTGTACGTTCTTCTTTTGGAACTGTTGGAAGTACTTGATCAGCTGTTTCAAAATCTTTACGCATAACAGCTGTTTGATATTCAAGTACAGATAAAGATAATTCAAATGAAACAATTGACATTTCTTTATCACCCAAATATAAACGATTTTCATTTGAAACATAACCTAATAAATACATTACTCTAAAACAAAATAAATAAAGTTTATTTTAAATTCTAATTAACAAAATTTTCTTTTACCTATCTAAATGCGAAATTGTCACAATTTCACCACCAACATAATAATTTATACGATTAAGAGAATTGGTATAAATAAAACAATCACCAACCCATATGCCAGTTTTTACAATTTCAGGAATTTCACTAAGTGCCTAGACAGAAAGAAAACATACAAATAATTTCAATTCTGATTAAACACTTACATCAAATGCATCTTCAATACCATCTTCAGATATAAGATCTTTATTTGATACTGCAGCTGCTACAGCTTGAGGATTATAACGAAGAATATAATAGGATTCTTCTGTTGCAATACAAGCTAATTCACCATTTTGACTCCAATAAATCTAGATAAATAAGATTCTTCTATAGATATTCAATTAAAATAAGAAAACATACAATTTTTGGTACAATTTCAATTCGTCGAATTAAACTTGTTGTTTCCCAATCATAGAAAGTTAAACCTGAATATGATCTAACACCTAAAAGTGATCCACCAAATATTCCTTCAGCACCAGCTTCTGGTTTAAAAGTTTTCTTTTCTTTAAAATTTTTAAATATTTTAACCATATTTCCATCACGTATAGCATATTCAGATGAATCTTGTGACCAAACAAATTCCATAGCACTACCATAACTTTTATTACGTAATGTCATTGCTGTATAAATTATATATTCACCATCACCACAAACGACAACAAAACTAAATAAAATTCATTATAAACTATAAATAAATACTTTATTTAGTATAAAATTACCGTCCATTTGGTGAATGCGATAATGTTTGAGGATATATTTCACAACTACCCATTTCTTTAACATTTAATGGTACTTTTTCTCCATCTTTTAATTGTTGATCACTACTTAATTGTTTTAAATTAACTTGTTGAATTTCACAATGTTTTGCCCAAACAATTTTACCAGTTGATGCATCCATTGACATTGCTGGTTCTTCTCGACCCAACTAAACAAAAATAAGTTTCTAGTATTTATTTTATATTTTAGAAAATTAATTTACTTTAATCATCATCGTTCCTTCATCGTAACCGAGTGCAACATTATTTGATCCTTTCAAACATGATATAGCCCAACATCTTTCAAGACCATAATTAAGTGTTGATTCAAGACGATATGTATTGGAATGCCATAATTTAACAGTACCATCTTCTGAACCACTTAATACAATGGGTAATTCAGGATGAAATGCAACACAACCAACATTTTGTGAATGTCCTTCTAATGTTTGTACGCATGTTTTATTCTTAAGAGAGAGAAAAAAGAAGTTTTCAAAATAATCAAAAATAAAATTACTTACTTGATAATCCCAAATTTTAACAAGACGATCATCACCACCTGATACAAGATAAGGTTTATCACCACCTGAATAATAATCCACACAATTAACACCTTTTTCATGACCTTCAAGAGTGAAATTCGGTTGAGTTGATCCTAATTGCCATACCTTAATAAGAAAAAAAGAAAGATAATATAAATAAAATTATTAATTTATTTCTTACTTTAACAGTACGATCAAGTGAAGCTGATGCAAATGTATTATTATCTTTTGGATTAATAGCTATTTGCATAACATAATGAATATGTCCTTCAAAAGTTTGTTTCAAGGCCCATTTAGCATCCCAATCCCATAATTTAATAGTCATATCATCTAGCAAAAATCGAACAAAAATTAATTTTCTTTTTTAAATAATAATAAAATTCAACATACCACTACTAGTTAGAATATATGATTGTGTTGGATGGACAACAACTGAACGAATATAATCACTATGTGCTTCGAATTGATGTAATCGTTCAAGTGTATTATAATTATAAACACGTATCAGCATATCATCCTTGATAACAAATACGAGAAAAGAAAAGTTTCATTTTATTATAAAAATATAAAATTTACAGATGCAGTAACTGCCCAGTTTTTTCGAACAATAAATTTACCGGCACGAACAGGTACATCACATATTTCAAATGTTTTAATTAATTGCTAAATAAAATAAATAAATAAATAAATAAACAAGAATATGATAGAATGATAAATTCTTTACTTGTGTGTCATGATTATAAATATGTGCATGACCATTATAAAGTGTTACTAAAATCCATGGTTCATTGGGATGAATATCAACACATTTAACACGATCCGATCGAACTGATAATTTGCGCTTAACATCAAGGCGCAGAGGCTAAAATATATATTATAAAAATTTGATTGATTCATAAAAAAAGTATACTTACCATTGTAAAATCAAAAATAAAATTATCAAATTATGATGTTCTAAAATTATAGTACGGAAATATATATTTCAAGGAAATACTAATTTAGATTCAAAAACGGTACACGTAAACAAACCACCATAATAAAAAAAAATTTGTCCACGTCCGATGGATTTGGTATTCTACCGTCAGTTATTAACCAATAATATTTGTTGTTTTACTTTATCTTACATAAAAGGTTTTTGATATGAAAACTTTATGTAGATGGAGTGAGTTATTGAGAATATTTCAAATAAATATCAATCGAAAATTGTAAAAAGATAAAAGAGTATTATCTTGTAGAAGTTGAACTAGATATGTCTAGGAAAATAATAGTTAATTTCGAGTTTGTTTTCCCTTCTATAGAATTATAATATCGGATAAATTTTAAAATTTATCCATGTTTCCATTTTAACTTAATTAAAATAATTTTATATTGAACTAAAGTATGTCATTGATAAATTTCTTTTATTTAATTAATTCAAATATACTTTTTTTTATATTAAAAACCATACTTCTAATTTTATCTTAGAAAAGGACAATTTCCTTTTGACTGATTCTATGAGTATTACTCTTAATAATTTAGTGAAACTTTCGAGTGTGTTTTATTTCATATATTCTCAATACGTAATAAATGATATTTTTGAAGAAATATTTATTCAAATGTCTATCGATTAGGTTTATAATATAATTTGATGTTGTCGAATCAAAATAAAATAACCTTGATTATAAATAGAATCAAAGATAACAAAGCCTACTACTTGTTAGGCATATTTTGACATGCACAAGTATGTTATCAATAAACAATCGCTGATTGTTCTATTTTTCTTTTCGAAAAGCAATTACTTAGAAATGCAGAAATTTTTAAGGCTTCAAAAATATAGCTCAAAATACACATAATATTAGATATAATAAAGAGAATTAAATCATACATCTGATTAAATATTGAAATTAATTTGAAAGAATAAAGAATTATTGATAAAAACAAAAAATAAAAGTCAAATTAGAATTCATTATTATTATTATTTATGTTCTATTTGAGAGAAATATTATGAAAATAAAAATGAATGAAATTTTGTTAATCATCATAAAGAATAAATTACTTTATACAAAATTCAATTATATGACCGAACTAAATATATGATTGTACGATGAGAAAATGGAAAGAAAATCAATTAGAAAAAGAAAAAAACAAATAATTATCAAAAAAAGAAAAACTCGAAAAGCGCAAATAATTCTTTAATTCCAAGAGGTTTGTTGTTCAGTTGCAGATTGAAATTCTGGAAAAAAATTAAATTTATAATGTTTCAAATGCATTTCTCGTTCTTGATCAGTTCGTTGATGTTCTAATGTTGATTCATTATATTGATCATTATTTGGTCTTACATCATCAATAACCCAATCATCATTATCATCTCCTTGACAATAAGATACAAATTCATTAAACATATCACGTAATTCATTTAAAAAACTTTTTGCCGAAAAACAATAAAGAAAAAAATTTATTGCATGTGATGTAAATTGTATTGAATTTACAGTTATTTGAATCATATGACGACGAGTACGTTCTGTTTTTAATTCAAGATTATGACGAAAAAATACGAAATAAATGCATGCTGGAAGAGTTAATATAACAAATACAAATGTAACTATAATTAATAATGCTGTTAATTGTCGATAACGTTCAATATTTTTTCGTTGAACTGTTGGTGGTGTTGATTCAATTTGTGCACGACTTGATCGTACTGTTACAGCAATAATATATGTATTACAAATACACATAATAGCAAATGGACATAAATTATATACAATTAAATGAACACGTTCCCATTGTGGATAAATATAATTTGGATTGTCACGTGTTGAATAACAATTTATAGTGCCAGATGTTGTACGATATCCATTTAAAAATAATATATGACTATTTAATCCAATACATAAAAATGTTAAAATACATATATAATATTTTGTATATTTTAATTTTCCAAATGATTGTTTCCAATGTAACCAATAGAGATTCAACGCACGATCTTGAAAAAAAGAAAATAGAATATTATTTGCTTAATAGGATACCTACGTGATGTAACTAATATAATTCATACTAGAAATCGGAAAATTTACATTTATTATTTATCCTAATTTCATGTCTGCTATTATCCCTTTATTTCTTTTACAGATATAAACAAAGAAAAAACTCATTATATAGGATTGATTATTATAATACTGCTTTAACTAATTAACTATAATCTTAAATTGATATATAATTTTAGAAAAAAGAAAAGTATGTTAAGTACATTTTTAATTTTAAGAAAATTTATTCTTACCAAAACTAACAGCAGTTAAACACCAACTTGATAATTGTAAACTAACAAATGTCATAAATGATATAACACGACAATGTATAAGAGATACATCTTCTAAATTTTGATTTGTTGAACTAATATTAAATTTATAAAAACTATTTAAATTCCAACCATACAATGATATTGTATCACATATACTAACTACAATTAGATAACGTATAGTTACTAAACGACGAAGATTTCGTCTTAATAATACAATTATTGTTAATAAATTTCCTACAGTACCAACAATAATAAGTATAAGAGCATAGATACTTAACGATTGAATAATAAATGAATCACGAGAATTTGCTGATGAAGATGTTGATTCATTTAAAATAGATTCTTCAATTTTTTTCGTATATTCTACAAAAACCTAAAATATATGATCAAAAATCGATCAGATAGATTGAAAAAGAAAAGTAATTATTTCTATTCGAACTTACAATAGGTGTACGTGGAGTATTCATCATAATTGATAATAAATAAGAAGTAGTATTAATAAAAAAAAAGATTGGTTAAATGACAGCTATACCATGTTTCTTGCCAATTTGAGTAGACAGAAATAATCAAGACGGAAGGATATCAAATGGAATATCGTATGTCGTATTTCTATATTTTTTCTTCTTTCTCTCTTGTTATTGTAAGATGATGATGTTAATAATCGATGAAAAAATCTTTGTACATATTTTGATCTAATTGTAGACGATAATAGATAAGTTTTTTTTTTAATAAAATTAATTTATAGATCAATTGATTTATATTTCATAATTAAATGATGAAATGATCTGTAAAGACGAAGAAAAAAAAAAAGATATTACAGTAACATATGGAATTGAAAATAATAGACATGTCGTTCTTTTTTTTTATTATGTAGTACGATGTTTGTCTTCGGTTCCGAAGTGTTTCTTTTCTTCTCTTCAAATGTCCTTCAGGCAAACCAAGCAAGTGTCAAGAAAAAAAACGAGAAAAAAAAAAGAAAACTTATGCATTTTTCAATGTTTTTTATACGGACAATCTATCATCAACATGTCAATGTTGTCATCATCAAGTCTATTAAAATTTTCAACGGTTGACATCTCTTCTGTCATTATTATAGTAATATAGAGATGGAGGGAGAAAAAAAACTATATTTAAAAAAAAATATTACATAGCCTGTCTCTCTCTCTCTCTCTTCTTTTTTTTTATTCAATAATATTAATTAAGTAACAAAAAAACAACTTTTATCATTAAAAATTCCATCGGCTTTTTTTCTTTTAAGAATATTTACCTAAACTTATCTGAGTGGCTTAGTTTATAAGGATCTATGAAGATCAATTGAAATAAGAAATCTATTATAGTAAGAAAAGAGAAGAAAAAAAAACTTGATAGAATGATGGAGAAAGAGAAAAATAATGTCAAGAATAAAAAAATCTCTTGGTGGAAAAAAAAGAATGAATGAATGAATGGATAGATTGCATTTGTCATCTTTTTTCTAAATTACACATTTAACACAACGTAATAAGAGACCAAATAATACATAAGAAAAAAAGAATTTTGCTTTTATTTTACAATATATTAATATTGAATTATATATTACATCGATTGATTATAATTAAGAAGGAAAAAGAAAAGAGAACGATGTTATGTCATATGGAATTTTATTTTATATAAATCGATCTATTAAAAATAAATGTCTTTTAACTTAAGTTACAAAACATCAATCTCATAAAAACCATGTTAACATAATTCATCAAACAAAACGTCTGACATTACCTTGAGTATTCAACCAGTAAATCATAGGAAATGACAATATTGTATTGATGAGAAATTATTTACACGACGTGAGCAATATAATATACGAATAAACGATAAATCAATATGACTGTATATGCATATGAGAACTTTCTTATTAACTTAGTTAACCGTGTAAATGATGAGTCAATCTATGGAAATAAATATTTTAGATCTCGTGAGTGAATATAAATGTACGAGAACAAAAAGACAAGATAGTAAACAATAGTAGAAGATAAATTATTCGTTGATTAAAATTCTAGTGAACATCAATCTCATTAGCATATGAAGCATTGTTAATATTAATGATGTATTGACAACTACGATTTTTCTTTTGTTTAATATCAATAGAATATGTTTTACAATTAAAAATATTTATACTAAAATATGATTTATTTTTTCAATAGAAATAAATTAGTCAATAGATTTTATCGTCTATATGAAAAATAAAAACAACAACATTACATATCAAATATTAGTTTTTCTTTCATGAAAACTTCTACAAGAAAAATATAATCAAAGTAAATATTACAAAAATGAATTTTATTAGATGGAGAATATAAATAATATATTAAGAACAGTCTATAACATTTAAAAATGAAGATATTATTTATTCACATGTATTTTTAATTTCATTTAAATAAAAGCATTTTCATAGATATTCAAATATGTATCTCGTGAGACAATGAATTACGAAGATATTATCATATAGATTATTTCTAATATTATCATACATATTTTATTGAGCAATAAATACTGTAGAAGATTTGCATGAATATTATTAGTTAACGATGGAAGCATATTTAATTTATTTTGTTTCCTGTAAGTCTTTAAAATTGAAGAAATAAAAGGAAATTTGTTCGAGTTTTTTCTTTCTTTTCATTTTGACAATATTAAACAACAGAAGAAAAAAAATTTGTCCAAAAAAATGCTGTTAACAAGCCTCTTATAATTTTGTGTTTTGTTATTATCCTAATTGAATGTACACTGAGAAGACAAAAAGAAAAGACATTGCACATTAAAAAGGACGATATACAAATGAAAGAAAGAAAAATTGAACAATATATAATTAAATAAAAGACAAAGCCGAAAGAAGAAAAAAAAGAAATGAGATAAATTCATAGAAATCTATACATAATTAAAATTCTATGATGCTGTTGTTGTTGGTGGTGGTGGTGTTGTTATCGTTGTTGTATTATCTGTTATAGGTGAATCATTAAGAAAATTAAAACAAAGTATCGTATCATCATGTGAACTTGAGACGATTTGAAATTCATCGAATTGTAAACGAAATACTCGTCCTGTATGTTCAGTTAATGTACGAATACATAATGATGATTGTGAACGTGGATCAAGAGCTGCTACTAAATCCCAAACTTTGATTTTACCTATACAAAAAACATAGATAGATAAAAGACAAAAAATGCAATTTTGAATTTTCGTTTACCATCATACGCTCCCGAAACAATTCGTTTTGAATCAAAACGAATACAACGTACAAGTTCATCATGTCCTTCAAGTATACGTAAACAGGCACCACATTCAATATCCCATATACGAATTGTATTATCTGATGATCCACTAACAACAATTTTATCACGATACTGTAAACAAGCAATACCACGTTTATGTCCAAGTAATGTTCGTACAAATTCACATGTTGTTGTATCCTATAAAATAAAAGAAATTTTATTTCTCTCATTCTCTCTCTAAATATGATTAACATACCCAAACTTTAATTGTTCTATCACCACTAGCACTAACAATATATTTTTCATCAAAATCAACAACATTAACTGCTGCTCGATGACCAACTAGAACACGTCGAATAGTTATATCTGTTGGTGAATTCATTTGCCATACAGCTATTGAACGATCTTTTGAACATGTTACCATCGTACCATCAGAAAATCGAAGATGTAAAACAGCTTCACAATGATGTAAAAGTGTATTAATTAATTCTCCTGTTTTAACATTCCATACACGTATAGTTGAATCTGATGAACCAGTCACAATAACTTTTTCATCATATTGTAAACATAAAACACTTCCATTATGACCAGTTAAAACTTTCGTACATTCAAGAGTTTTTCTATCCCATATTTTAATTGTATTATCACGAAGACCACTAATTATTTTATCTTTATCATATTGTAAACAATAAACACCTTTGCTATTTTGTGAACGACATTGAATTTTTTCTAATTGAAAATTTCCTGTACGCCAATTAATTTCAATTTGTTTAATATCTTGTAAGATTTTTGGATATAAATTACGATAAAATTCATGTGTTTTACCAATTTCATTTGATGTTAATACTTGACGAAATAAATATTTTGTCCAATCACGACGTTTAGCAAGACCATCCCATAGTGTATCTGATAGAACTTTACGTTCAATTAATTTTTTCCATAACATACCTGTTGATATAACATGATACCAATCATGACAAACATATTCACTTGCTATTAATGTTTTATGATCTAAATATCCAAGAATTTTTTCGGCAATATGTTCAAGTCCACGTGATGCTAATTGTCCAATAAAATCTCTTTGTAACATAGGTAATAAAACTGTATTTATTTGTCCATGTTGATGACTATGCATACGTTTGAGAAGATTTTCAACAAATATTAATTGTTCACGTTCATCCCATGTTAAAAATATGGTTAAAAATTGTTCACTCATTTTTTCATAATCAGATGTGGAAATTTTATTTATCGATGTTGTTAAACAATTTGACGATGAAGATGTGAGCATTGGTGAATGTTCTTCGTTGTTAATATCATTACCTGAGTTTGTTGTCATAGTTTCCATTATTTCGGACGTTTTTTTTTTCTTCTTTTCGTGTATTATAAAAATGGAATTGAATAGAGAGGAAAAAAATCAAATATGTATTTTTTTTTCTTTCTTTTTTTTAAGTGACTATTGTTAAGAAAATAACAACGGTAAAAGACATCTAAAATAATAGACATGTATTAATAATTAAATAGTACATTTAAAAATGCGGCTTTTTTTTCTAACAGTTAGTAACCTACATTGAAAAAATCAGATTTTATCTACTGAATTCTTAATTGTGCTCCAACTTTGGAGCGATTGCTCTAATAGATATTCTGGACTGTGCTGAGTCGACCGATGATGCTCAAGAAAAATAGTTTTGAGAATAATATTTTTTTGAAAAAAAATCCCTGTACTCCCCCCCTCAGGGATGATCTGATCAATAATAAGAATTTCTTTTATAACTCAGCTATGGTAGAACCGGTTGGGCTCATCTTCGAATTCGACCGAGATATCAATGAAACTAAGCTCTGCAGAAAATTTCAGCTCAGTCTGATTCTCCTTTCGAAAGTTATCGTGTAAACGGCCGGACGGACACACTGATCGATTTTAGTAGTGTACTCACTTTTTGAGTACACAAAAAGGACACAGTTACAAGCTACAACTTGAAACTCGTAAACTTCGAATTTGGAGCTCACTTAACTTGACCATTTTACAACAACAAAGATTATGTTGTCGACATCGACATATTTATTATTAACAAAATTCAATATAATTATAAATCTCTTGTAAAGAAAAAGCTAGTCATTATTTTAAGTTAAAATAAGACATGTCATAACCTTGATATATGTCGTTAATAGTATTCCAGGCATATGTAAAACTATAATTGTACGGCTTCTTTCTCTACGGTTAGAATGACATAGACCAAAAAGATTATCTAATTGATATTTTGATTCTTTCCTTTCACTACTCTTATTTCGAAGTGTGATTAATGCTTATCTTGTTTTCTTTCTAAATAACTTCTCAATTGAGATCAAATCAAATATAGACAACTTGATCTTAAGTGCTTTTCATCGTGTTGCAAAGAAAAAAAAATGTCCTTATAGTATACAAGTTTTAATTAACTATAAACAAATTTATTAATAATAAAATAGCCTTCAGAATATCTTATTGTTCATACTTAACGATAATAAATGATTATGTTTATAAAATATAGTACCATCGAAGAAGAAATAATTTAATTAATCTAAAGCAAAACAAAAACAAAAATTTTTATATATCATATTAAAAAACGAAAAATGTTTTTTTTCTTATTTTTTTGTGTTTTATTAATTTTCATCTTTTATTTTGCAAGTAGATATATCATGACAAAAAGAAGAAAGAAAGAAGAAAAAGAAAAGCAAACATACGAACAGGACAACAAACTTTTGTTATGCATCCGATATGACTGTACATATATGAGAGAGAAAAAAGACAAAGAAAAAAAAATTTTTTTTTCGTTATATTTGCAGAAAAATTATTAATCATATTTTGAATATTGTTTACTTGTTGTAGTTAATGATGTTGAATGAAAATTATTATTATTAGTATTATTATTAGTAGTATTATTATTATTATGTTGTTTTGTATTTGTTGTTGATGGTGGTGTAACAAGTGAACGAAATGCATCAATAATTAAACTTGGATGACGTTTAGAAAATTGTATCCAATTATTTGTTTTTGATACAGCTGATGCATTTGAACGTATAAAAGCTAAAACTTGTTGTTTAAGTGATGTATCATTTGCATGATCACTAACTTCAAGCATTTCAATAGCATTATCAACTTTTAAGACATCTAACATAGTTGATTTTGCTAATTGACGTAATTCATTTAAATCATATTTAACAGCAGCACGAAATAAATCAATAGCATTTAAATTGGCTTTGATTTCGTCAGTTGATGTTATTAAACGACCTGTATAAATATAGACAAGCATTATACGAACAGTTGAAGGATCAAGATCATCGATATATAAATCAATTGATGGTAATTTAGAATTTGTTGTATTGTAAGTTGTATTATTACGTATTTGACTTGCAAATGATGATGAACGAGACATTAGAATAGCTTTATGCGCATGAAATGTCGCTAATGGTGTTATATTTGAATATTTAATATGAGCTGATTGAATATCTATATGGAGATCTTGTTCACTATTATCTTGATGATGACAAATACATGAACAACGTTTTATACTGGATGATAAAGATAATATGGAAGACGATGAACATAATTCTGATGAGGAAAATTCAGCAGATGATGAAGAACAATTTGATGATGAGAGATTAATGTCAGATGATGATGGTGTTAATGACGATGAACTTTGAGCAATACGTGAAAGTAAAGACGTTGTTGAACGAGTTGTTCGACGTGTTGTTGTTGGAGTTGTCGATGAAGATATAGGAGATGCATGACTTTGTGTTGGGAGATTTGTTAAATGACGAGAATCGAGATTATCCGATTCAGAATCTTTACAAATCACTAGAAATAAAACGAATTAATATTATTAGAGAATTATTTATTTTTACCTGATGATGACTGTTCATGATGATCGGATATTGGTTCATTAGTTGTACTATGAGACTTATTTTTTTCTGATGTACAATGACAAGATGAACATGATGGGTGTTGTTGTTTTAAAGATGTTCTTTGATGTTTTATACGGTTGGATTTCCTATGATCATCAACAATAATTGGTTGCTGTTGTTGTTGTGAATGATTTGTATGTTGTTTAGGTATAACATGTATATGTACATCAGCAAAACGTTCATCATCTAAAAGTGTTTTGATTTGATTTGATAGAAGTTCTAATGATTTAAAACGTTCTTTATCATCTGTAAATAAACCAGATATAATTGTTGATGATGTTGTTGATGTACTTGATGGATTTATATTATTCATTGATGTTGCTGATGATGATGATGCCGAAGATGATGATGTTGATGCTTGAGTTTTTGGTGTCGTACTTGTTTGTTGTTGTTGAGCAGAATGTTGAGATGATGGTGGAGGTGGAGGTGGTGGTGGTAAAATTGATGATGCATGATGATGGTGATGATGATGATGTGCAGGATGTGGATGACGAAGTAAATCACCTGTTGCAGTTTCTTTTTCATCAACTAATACAACACGAACATAGACTCGAAGACGATCATCTGTTATAAGATCATTACGACGAGAATTTAAATAATTTCCATCAAGAAATTCTTAAGAAGAAAACAAAATTTCATTTTTAATTACTCTAACAAAAAAAAACGTTTCAATCTTACCTGAATAACCCCAATCATTTCCTGATGAGAATGTATGAAAATTTGTTGAACGTAACATAACAAGTTCATTATTTCGACTAACAACACTAAATTCTGCTTTAGCTTTTATTGTTGGCATTGTTCCACTAATATATTTAAGAAATATAGCTATATTATTATTTGTATGTTGTTTTTCATTTAAACCACGTGGATATAATTTTAAACTCCAACGTGTATTGGAATAAGGTGTATTAACAGGTGAAAATGATTCCGATTGAAGACATGTAGAATTTGAATCATCAATATACGATGAAAGATAACTAAGAAAAAAACATTGTTATGTCAATAAAAAACAAAAAAATGTAATCTTACTTTATAATCCATAAATGTGAAAATGAACATAAATGTCGTTCTGTTCGTGATGATGAATCAGATTCTGAGAATGTTCGTTTATGACTTTGTCGAATTGATGATGATGTACCAGATGATGATGTTGGTGTCGATGAATTGGTTGTTGTTGTTGTTGATGTTGTTGTACTTGCATTTGTATTGGAAGACGTATTTGCAGTAACTGATGTTCGGTTATTGTTACTGTTATTGTCCATTTTATTAGAAATAACAACTAAATTTAAAAGAAAAAAAATTATTTTTGAATTCATAACAAAACATTACGATTTTACTTTATTAAATAATAAAAATCAACGATTATTTCTTTTTTTTTTTGGTATTTCAATTTTTAATATTACATGCTGAAATATTTATTAAAAATAATAATTATCTAAAATAGATTTTGAAAATTGTTATGGAATTACTAAAACAATCATTATTATTATTATTATTATTTTAACAATCAAAATGATAAAATAAAATATCTTCTTATTGCAAATTGATTGACTAGTGTCATGGAATATTGATTACTTAAGCCAAAAATGTTTTTGGATCAAAATTCGGTTTTTCTGGATAAGTACAACTCGATTGTTGAATACATTCATATGCACAATAAGCACCAGCTTGAATAGCTTCTGCATAAGTTTTACCCAGAGCCAAATATGCAAGAAAACCTAAAAAATAGAACTCTTTCAATTTTATTCATTATATCAACAAACATTCTAATCTCAAGGATGTGATTGTATGCACATGTGAGTGTATATCACATATTGAAAATTATCAGTATCAAGGATGAGAGAAAGAAAGTTAGACTATATGTGTAAAACATACCGCCAACAAAAGAATCTCCAGCACCATTTGTATCAACAATACTTGATGGTTTTTTAACTTGAAATTCTTCAATATCTTTTCCAGCTATAGCAAGTACAGTTGGATCAGCACCTTGAGTTATCACAACAACACGTGGACGTTGAGCATTTTTTTTTGGAAGATCACTTAATGCTTTGGCTATTTCTTTAACATCTTCAGTCTTAAAAAAATCAATTACTTATAAACAATTCAAAACGAATAATCATAACTTACATCAATTTTTAATTGGTGTTTAGCAAAACATTTTGCTTCCTACGAAAAAAAAGCCATTTTCTCTTGATTAAATATTATTTCTTATCTTACAGTTTCGTTACCAAATAAAAAATCAACATAAGACATCGTTTTCATTAATCTATCACCAAAAAATTCACAAATAAAAGGTGCGGATAAATTAGTACAAAATAATTGTTGATTTTTATCAGCTTGTTCACATAAACGCATTGCAGCATCAGGACATACTGTATAAAAAAATCCCTTGAAAAAGAAATCAAATTTAATTTGCCTTTCATATTATATTACATACAGCTGTATAAATTATTTTTGATTTTTCAATATATTCTTTATTTTTTGGTTCATCTAAATGATCAATTGTAAAACAATTTGCAGCACCTAAATTTGCTACTAATGATCTATGAATAACAAGAAAAAAAATCTTATTTTTATATTCTTTTGTTTTAAAGATCTTACCGATCATTTCCAGTAATCATAACAGCACATGTACCAGTTTCTGTTTTAGAATCAACTTGATAAGATAATGTTAGACCTGCTTTTGTAGCTGCATCATGTAATATTTGTTGATATTTATCTTGACCTACACAACCCATGTAAACACAAGATTTGGGTTGTTGAAGCATCCACTGAAAATTAAAGAAAACTAATTTCGTAATTAAAATATAGAAAAACATTTATTTTTACAGTTGCAGCTCGCATAGTATTTTGTGTTGAACCACCAGCAACAAAATGATGATTTGGATAATCATGAAGTAATTTTTCATACCTAATGAATACATATTTAGTTTTATAAATTCAAAATTCGAAAAGAAGTAAACTTACATATCTTTATGTTGTTCACCAGCTAAAATAGCATCATTAGCTTTTAAATTATATCTAAATAGAAACAAAAGAGATTAATTTGATCTAAATATTTCTTTGAAGGTTGACATCGATATTCAGTCAAGGTTTATATGACAATACAAGGTGTTATAAAGTGAATCATACACCGTTAAGGTTAACCTTTGACATCATTCATTCCGAACTTCAAAGATACAATCAATTGATATATATATATAACATACCCTTCAAGAAATGATGTTGGTACTTCAGCAATAATATCAAGTAATGGATTTCCAATACCGAATATTGTTCCATCACTAAAGTATAATTTTATTTTCAATTGTTTTCTTTTGAAAAATAATTGTTAACAAACTCTAATTTTTGTTTGTCTGATGATTCAGATGACATTATCTAGAAATAAAAAATAGAATTTCATTTATTGAATATATTCTACATTTATCTAATTTCTTTAATAAATTAATATCTTAGAATTTGTGTTGTAAATTTTCTTAATTACATTTAAATGTCAATTATGTTCATTTGTAATTGACCTAACATCTAATAAAAAGAGGTCACTATATGTCTTTTTTGACCTTCGTATTTTATCAATCTTTCATATAATATACTAGTTTACAAGATTTTTCTTGTCTACATTCAATAGGAAAGCTATTCTTTGTGTTTTTACTTTATGGGAATTTGAACATATTGAAAGAGTAATGTTGATCTTTTTTAATGATCGAAAGTAATGATAACAATGACATTGGAAATTTGCATAAACTAATAAAGCATAGATTTTATAAGAAAGAGAAATTTATCATAAGATAAAAGTAAAAATAAATTAATAAGAATAAGTTTCAAAAAAGATTTCATAAATAATCACATATACATGCACATTATAGATAGTTAGTTTATTGTGTTGTTCTGTTGTGATGTTAGACGTTAAATATGAGATTTTATTGGTTAGAAACTTTCATTGAAAAATTTGTTTGTCCTTTATTCATGATATGATTAATAAATAAGCAATAATTTTCAATGAAAATCAATTATTGAAAAATATCATCCAAAGAAATTTGTATTAACTTTGTAGAAATAATGATGATATAAATAATTATAAAACAAAAACTCTGATAAGAGTGACATCTGTTGAGTTTCTATAATATTATAAGAGACAACGCTTAGATTCGTAGATGACAAAGTTTGGACTGATATTTGCAAGGGGGCGAGAGCAGGATGTATCAGGAGTCACGTCACTTGAGAAATTTTGCCAGATTTAGCTATTTTATTTCAAAGAAATACCGTCACTATTGATGAGCTATGATAAGTTTTCCTCCTGGAGAAAGGTCGATGGGAACTCAGTGTCCTATCTAAATATTTTCTTTTGAGATTTGTTAGAGAGAACACATAAGAACAGACACTTCACAGTGGACCATTTTCGCGAACTATAGTGTTGATCGAATAAAATCTCACTGACATTTATTAGAAGATCGCTTTTCCTACAGTGTTGTAGAAAATTCGACGGACTATCTTTTGAAAAACAATTCAAGGTTAAACAAGATCATTTTGAAAGATTATTCTTTTTAATAACTTTCAAAATGATCGATATATATTTATAAAAAAAACAATCACTGAGTCTTGAATGGCAAAGGACTATACGTCCACGGGTCTTGGAAAAAGTGCTGCTGTTCCATCATATATTGTTAGGCTGGTTAAAACGATATTCGTCGAGAGGTGCCATGTCAGATGCTAAAAACAAAAGTGATTTCTTTGGAAAATATTAAACTGATCAACTTACTTGATTCAGCTCTGTAGTACGAGTTTCGATGTGAGTGTTTTGATTTTCGTCCGGTTAACTATACAAGAACAACAGAATTAACTTATTACTCGAAAGAAAATATCTAAAACTTACTAAATGTATGCGTTTCTTGCTTATATGGCTATAAACCCAAACACCCATACCAGTTAAGACAATGACAATAAAAATACATATAACAATAACAGAACAGACAACATTCATTTTTATAATGGTACACCATTTTGCTGGCACTACTATTGTAGTTATTGTTGTTACTATTGTTTTTGCCTCCACTGACAGCGTCTTATCTTTATTCTCAATACCATCCTCATACATGTTTGTTGTCGTTTGTATCGTATCGTCATCGGTCTCATTCTCATCAATCATCGGCTGTGTAATAAAAATCAAGAACTACGTATTATGAATTTCACTATTGTATTTTCCAAAACTTCGATTAAAAATTATTTTTCAGAAATGAGCTCAATCTTGAAGGATCTTATGTTCTACTTTTGTTCAAAATCTCTGAAAACTTTCCATTTACAGTTTTAACCATTAAATCTAAGTCAGTGATACTGAGAAACATTAACATAAACTTTTGCAGTAGAAAAACAGTAGTTTTTTGTTTAAAATGTGTTTATATTTGATAGAAAAATAAGTATAAAGTGGCTGTTTTGAACTTCTCAGAAAGTTTTACACTTCAAATATAAAAAAAATACTTTTGGGGTAAAACATATCATCCAGAAAAATATTACTCTCATGAGCTTAGTACTTAATATATGAGAAGGAATAATTTTATCTGACGGTTATATATTTATCAGAGACGAAAAAGAATGAGGATATCTTTATTTGGATTCGATTTCTGTCTCTGATATTTACTACTATCATATACTATCTTTAACCATGTCAGGTCATCTGCAGCGATCGATAAAACCAAAATAGAATACCGTGTCGCTAATTTATGAAGATAGTGCCTGAGAAATAGGTATGGTTGGTTGTAATCCCATACCCTATATAGAGAAGTCAAAAATCTATGCAAAACTTACTAGTTGAAATAATCTATTATATTAATCAGTTAGTTTCCTACATGCTCAAATACATGTCGTTACTACTAGATAGATACGTGTGCACTATCGTTCTACACTGCACATCAACTTACCGGTGCATTACATCTTATACATTCGCAGGAGTTCATCGAGCAGTAACCATTTTCACAATTGATCGAGTTGCAATACTCTGCGCATATCTGATCCATACCTGAAGTATTGGGCATACATTCACGGAAGCCGTTCACCATTGTTGAAATTGATATCACAATAAGAATACAAAACATTTTGGATAAATAACGCATTTTTAGATATTGAATAACTTTTAAATGATTTAACATTGAAACCGTTTCTCGTTTTATACGACGAAGAGAGAGAGTGAGTGAGAAACAGATAAGGATGAGTCAAAAGGAAGTGTCTCCTCCATTCAACATCAACGCGAATTTCCTTAAGAAAAAAA